CTCTAGAAAAGTATAATAAAAATTTGGAATCAAAAGAATTGAGCAATTTCAGGCCACATGGCGGGTTGGTAGGAGGAATGATTTTGGGGATGGAGATTTTTTTTGAATCTCCAAATCAAACAATACAGCCTATTAATACTGTATTTTTGGCAAAGCAGAAAGACAGCCATACTTGTAAATTGGAGGAAAACAATTCTACGGGATTCTTCTAATATTTAAAATTAAACAAGAGACTGCCTTTCTTTGATATGTAGCCACTCTTCTCAAGTGGGCTATTTTTTTTATTTTTATTTTTTTGTGGTGCTGGGGATTGAACCCAAGGGAAGCACTCTACCAACTGAGCTATGTCTTCAGCTCATAGAAGGTTTTACAACAGGTAAAACAGTTATGTCTCAGGTTTCCAGTCTATCATTGGTCCTTCACAATCAGCATTTAAAAAAAAATTTATATAAAGGGAGAGTAGCGGGAAATAATCTTACTTTGGCAAAACATTTCATAAAATCCCATAATGACACACCCTCTGCTAGACCCAATATGTTACAAGACACACAGTACACAGCAGAGCCCCAATCTCTGGGACCTGATGGTGCTTACCTGAGGATTCCTCCATGCCGTGAGTTATGTCTTGGCTATTTTAGGGTTTCTAAGAGACAGCACCTAAGTATCAGAAATAGTAAGGCTGAAAAATCAAAGAAGCAGGTCAGCAAGTTTCTCATCTAAGGTTCACATAAGGTTCCCTAAATGAAAGTCCCTTCTCCACTTGGTTGGCACAGTGATCTGGGAGCTTCCAGCGATGGGTTTGCTGTTGAGGAGGCTGATGCTGTACTCTACAACTATGACATTGTCTTGCTTTTGAGCTCCTGCTGACCAACAAAATGGCTGCATCTCACCGAATATTGTCCCTTTGGTGGAGACCAGAGTATTTGAGAAGGAAGAAATTAGAGACTAGGATTCAAACCATTGTTATAGACCAGAGGAGCTCCTCTCCCCAAACTTGGGTCCATTGAGCACAAATTTGGGAATGGTTTTCAGTAGTCACTTTACTGGCCTGATGTTGGTAAAGCCTTGAGATGAGGTTGCTGATTATTCTATTTGGTGAAAGTCAGTCACACAAACTGGGCATGCCCAATGGACCGGAATGCCTGTCAGGGGCAGTTGAATGGAATGTCCAACTGACACAGTGGCAAAGCCAAGCCTTCTTTATTTCCCTTCCCAATGCTTTTTCCTGTCTTGATCAGGCTTTTTCTCTGACTCCATTATCTCTGTTTGGCTTCAATTCATTTTTAATTCAGACCTTTTGGCTATCAGACTTTGAACTTTACTAGCATTGACTTAAATCTGGTCCTAATGCCCCTTAACTCTAAATCTATAGGATCACAATCTCTGGTAAATGCAGCCTGTGTGTTAATATGGCATATGAGAGAGAGAATGGGAAAGTGGTACTAACAATCCATATGGCCGATGCAAAAGGGGTGAGGAGAGGGCTCATGATAATTCTTAGCGGCTTCTCTATCTTCCCTTCATTAACGCACCTTATTTCAGATTCAAAGGCCAAGTTTTGGCTCACAACTCAATCACAACTCATAGATAGATATTTAGGTCTTCACCAGGCCAGTGATTGAAAACTTTCTCTGCTTCGAAAGTATCACTTTTCTCAAACTGTGGTCCACAAGTGCCTTGTCGTAGGATTCACCTGGTGTCCTTACTTAAAATGTCGATTTTCAGGCCCCACCTCAGACCTGGTAAGTTAGAATGAAGGGGTCAGGGTTCTGTATTTTTAATGAGTACCCTTGGTGATTCTAAGGTTCACTGAAGTCTGAGAAGCACTGGCCAAGATCCTGGCCCAGTCACCCACGAATGGATGAGTGAAAACTTAACAGTTAACTGAGAGTGTTCTTGGCGGTTGACAAGAATAGCAGCTGCTTCTCCTGACTCATTCACAGTCAAAGAAGGGGCTGAGAACTGGTGAGTCAGAGAGGTAGTGGGGTGATTAGTGGCAGCCTTATGCCTCATAAGGAAAGATAACATTAGAAATGATGTGCTTTTAAAATCATAAAGAACAATATGTAACAAAGTTGAGAAATTAGCTGTTTAGGTCATTGTTATAAATATTTTCTTCTTTTTTATTTTTTGTGAATTCAAAATATGATTTTCTGCATCCCTTACATAAAGGTTTTCTTGATTTCTTAAAAATTGGTAAAGTCAGGGGATGATTGATTTATATTAACTTTGTAATGTTATCATCAGGACAATAAAAACATATCCTTTCACTAAAGATAAAGCAAAATCAGATAGATTAAAACAACAACAACCAAATCCTCAAAACAGCTCATTTGCTTTCATTTTATTTCATTTTAGGAGGTCTGTTTGTTGTGTCTTTCCATCATTCCCTCTTCTTCTCTTTACACCCCGCTTACACAATGCAGGTTTGATTTCTTCAAGCCTGTGGGAGCTTGCTAAGCAGTGATTCTCAAATCTAATTGGATGGAACATGCTAACTAATTCAGTATTGTTTCCAGATATTTTATTTTGAAGGAGACCAAATTCAGCCTGCTGAGGAACCACAGCATCTCCTCAGACAGATGATAACTCTTTCCTTTCTATGCAATTTGTCAAATTAAGTTTCTACTTAATCCAAGGAGCACTAGGTTCCCAAATGAAGTGTTAGCAGACAAGAATGTGAAACAACTACAACAACAAAAAGCAGTTGAGGTAAAATATAAAGCTAGGGGAGAATATATGCATATAAACATGGAAACCATCAAAATTTATATTTTGTGGTTTTAATGTAAAAGCTTTTAATTGTAGAGCACAATTAATTTAAACTTTTGACATCAATTCCTTTATTCTTCAAATGAGGTGTTAGATATTATAAAACAATTTAAAAAGTCAAATTAGCTGGTGCTTTACTTTTTGTCAGTTTCAAGAGGTTAAACACAATCACTTGTGTTTTGGCATATGAAAGGACAAGGAATATTACACAACAGTTTTATATAGAGGCAAATATACCTCAATTTCCCTGTGTTTCTTTTATTTTTTTATCCTTTCCTACCTCTTCTCTTTCCTCTCTCTCCTGTCTTCTCCTCTGCTTTTCTGTAACCAGGTCTCTCTTTTCCGTCCTGTTGTTTTTGCTTTTAATTTTTCTCCTTCTTTATCTTTGAACTGATAGTAAACAAAAACAAACAGTATCAGAATAATTTCTAGGGGTTGGGGTTGTGGCTCAGTGGTAGAGTGCTTGCCTAGCATGTGTGAGGCACTGGGGTTCAATTCTCAGCACTGCATATAAATAAATGAAAAAATAAAGGTCCATCAACATCTTAAAAAAATTTAAAAAAATAATTTCCAGTATCATTCAGTTTAGTTGAATTCAACCCAGTTATTTGTTGACTTGTTAGGCAAGAAGCCCCATGGTAGAGACTTTTGAGCATATCATAGTCAATGAATCCGCCAGTCCATCAACACAACAAACTGAACAGTAAGCCAAGGTTGAGAGTGTTAACATAGAGGCGCAAACTCAGAGCACAAAGGAATTGTGACTTCTGTCCACCAAGCACAGGGTGGCACTGGAGTTGGTCCTCGGAAACAGAAATGAGTCCTCTTCAGAGCACTCAGAGAAACTCAGCAGCCTCCTTTCCTAAATAGAAGATTTACTCATGCTGAGTAAATAATACCATTTTCTTGATTTTTTTCTATTTAAATTTTCCAATATTTAGAGTGTTCGATTGTATTTATTGCAAATATACAGTGTTCCGTTTTTGCGACAAAATGTATGTTCAAAATAATTTTCTTCCACTCAGAGCAGGATTAATGAATAAAATAAAAAGAAAGAGAAGACACAGCAGGAGATCTGGATTTCATACACTTGAATCTTATCTAGGTTCTGCCTCACAGTAGTTGTATTTATTACTCTGGGAAAAAAATCAACCAGGTTTCAACTGCAAAAAAATGAGGGTATTGAGTTAGCTGGCCCAAGGACCACTTCCTGTGTTAAGCAACTTTATTTTCACTTTCTTGGTAATTTCAAACCATTAATAATGTTGTTTCTAATTCCAAAGCAATTATATTGTAAATGAAGTTTTGTATTACAAATTTGGTAAAGGGAAGTTATACTCTTCCCCATATCTTTCTTGCTGCATTGGTAGTAGCAGCAGCCAACCATACAGGGAGAGGAGACTGCAGAACTGCCTGGGGACTGAGGCAAGGCAGTCATCTCTGTGGACAGAGAGCTAAGGGTGGTCGATACAGCTCAAAGTCCATTCCAGTGATTGAGCTTCCATTCATGTTTCGTGACTTAAAATCCTCAAGAGCTTTTAACCATGAATTACTAATTTGAAACATGTGCAAATAGCAGTAGCTTTTCTGTATGTTATATGAGCATTTTAACATCAAGAACCTGGTTTTAAAGGTACCTCTCTCTTACGTGTCCAGAAAGACCTTAAGTATTTATTAATTCTGGAACTTGTGGATGATTTATTTGATGTTTTCACTCTCAAGCAATAGATAATTCATGCAGATGAAGAAGCATGTTAGAAGCAGATTATTTCTCAGAGCCTTTCATAGTAGGCGTATCTAACTTTGTGGTCTACAGGTTAAAGGAGAAGAATCCAGTCCATCTTTGTAATTTGGGGGCCCTTTACCTTAGAAGACCTTATCTAGCAACTTGGCCTTTTGGGTGTTGGATTTCTGCTTTGTAGGGATCATTTGACCTTGGCCAGAACTTTTACAACAGGGTTTTAACTGTCATTCACCTTTTGCCATGCTCCCCTCCAGGGTTATGTTGGTGAGAAAAGAAACACCATTTTTTGACTGAGGAGCCTATCTTTAATGGCAGCTAAATTATTTGGATACTTTTGTTTATCTCAACTTTTCATAATGAATAATTGGGTTTTATAACTGCCCAAGTAAATAAATTTTAGAAGAAAAAGTCATAAGTAGCATATTTTTAAGGACAGTTTTATTGCCTTTCAATGATTTTTCTATATTTAGAAAAAGAAAAAAAACTTGTCATTTATTTGAAAAGAAACAAACCTGTATTTGTTGTTTTTTTTTATTTTTATAGGATGACAAATACTAATTTTTTTGTTGTGTCAGTGTCCTGTAAATAAGTCATAAAAAATAGGGATATTCTCATGTTACACTTGGAGACTTTGAGATCCCTAAAAATGATTAGTGAGTTTTATAAAAACAATTTATTAAGTGAAAGTGTTCAAGAAATTTTAACTAAGAAGTGATAGTGAACTGTCAGATAAAATTTTAAGTAATAAATTTACGAGGCAAATCTCAAAACCATAATGTGGATCCAGGATTGTGAAACACAATTTAACTTTCTGGGCTGGAACTCACGTTGGTATCTATAACTTTTTGTTTGCTTCTGTGGTGCATAAAGATGAACACAGAAGCTCAAGGAGATAAAACTGGGGCCCATTTCAGCATGCTGTGCTTACTAAGGCAGGAAAGTAGATGCACCCATTAATAAATATTAGAGATATTTACAAGGAAGTGGCTTAATCCACCTATGCCTCAGTTGCATCATCAATAAAATGGATAATTGTATAGATAAAATTAATAATGCAAAGAAAAGATGCAATTTCATCAGATCAGAATTAAGTT